TGGGCCCCGGCCTTGTAATGGGCTGGGCACGGCCAGCCTTGCACTGCCGTAGGGTTTGGCCTCAGCCTCCGGCAGGCGTATCCAGACTGATGGCTCAGGTTGTTGCCCAAAAACTCAGGAACGAAGTTTTAATTCAAACAAACGAAGAAACAACAGCCGAAACAGAAACCCCAAACGCGTTTGCGTTGTCTGGAGAACCGTGTTTCTTCTCAGCTTCTGTTGTAAATTCTGCCACTCCTTATTTAAGAAACTCACCTTGGCAAAGAATTTGCCCGATGTGGATGTGTTTGGTCATGGTAGAAGTTAAAGTTCTGTGTTGAGTACCCGTGAAAACCTTAAACTGTGTTGGTGAAAGCTAATTTAAGGGACGTGGCTTTATTCTTTCAGAAATCATGCAAATGTAGCTGGAAGCTGTAAAGAATGATTATCTTATTCAGACTTGCATGGTGCTGGATATGTTCAGATAAGCAAGAGATCTAGAGAATCTAAGATACAGAAAAAATCCTCAGAATTAAGAACTGAACTAATGTAATTTCAAGAGTAGAAGTTCTAAATTGCATTCTTTGTGATTTTCAGTACAGTATAATACATTGCTTTTAAAATATGTATGAAAATGAGATTGCATGGAATTAAGATTTACCCTCATAAATATTCGTAATTTTTAATTAATCCCTCTGCAATAGGAGTTAAACTTGACTTTGACTTTGGGTCCTATCAATAGGATAACACAATAGATTTTACTCTGCAGATCTTGTAGAATCCTGGCACTGTAGCACCTGCTAAGCCACTACAAACAAATTATGAGAGGCTGACATCATATCCAGGAGCTGATGTAATAACTGCTGTCAGGTTGACAAATTTCTGAATGCTTAATTGAATACTTAAGAAACTTTAGAAATTAAAAGGAAAACATCCTTAAAACAGTCGCAATATAAGATAGCGTAAGCATTGTTAGGGATTCAAATCATTACATAAAGGTGGTAGGTCCACCTAGAGAGATGTGGTGTAAGCACATAATGACAAATTCTTTGCGAATTCACTTTTAAGAGAGCTCATTTATTTGTTTTACTGCTGCATGTTTCTAATGTGTTACGGTTTATAACATTTTTTTTCCCTTTTAACAAATTTTTGTCTTAACTTTGCATCTTATTTTTGGGAAAGAGATCTTTGATGCTGCTCTTAACAGGGTAGAGAGCACTAGGGTTTTCTTATTGGAAACTTCTGGAAGCACATAGGAGGAAAACTTCTGTACCTTTAAGGCAACTAGTGTTGAAGCTTCCAAGTAACCTCTTACTAATATTTTCATTGAATATTTGAGTTTCATATTTTAAAATAAAAGCCACCTGTCTAAAAATCCCTTCTGTGTACGTGTTTAGAGCTCTTAGTTTCCTTGTTACTGTGGCTGAGCTTTCCAGCGTAGGCTGGTCCTAAAGGGAGCACTTAGAAGTAAAAACCTCTATTTCTCAACAAAGGTACAAATTGCTATTTTTGCATTGCAAGGCATCCCTAGCACCAACCCACACTATGTAGGACGGCATTCTGGGGGGGTTGCGTTCAGCAAAAGCACCAAAGCAAAGTAAACTTCATTGTATGTGTTTCAGAAGGAGAAAGGAAGGTGTAAATTACTCCTGCCGTCACTTGAATACATGAAATATAATTTATTTCAGATCTTATTTGGGCTGGTAAATTATCCTCCAGCAAGACAACATCTTGAGGGTACAACAGAATCTTTAACCTAGCAGGGAATTTCTGCTCCTGTAGCAGCGCACATTGATGAATTAAAGGGCTTGATATTGTGAGTGCTGACTGGTTTAAATTTTCCTTTTGGTCATTGTGGATATATTAAGATTTGTAATATAAAATGACACAGCTTCTTTAAAAAACAAAAACAGAAGAGCACTCTGTTTTATATTCTGGAGCATACTGAAATGTTGTGGAACTCACTGTTTTTTTCAGGACAGATGGAAGTTTTGTGGTTCATGATGTACCTTCAGGATCTTACGTAGTGGAAGTTATATCCCCTGCTCATAAATTTGAGCCTGTTCGAGTTGACATAACTTCAAAGGGCAAAATGAGGTGAGCCTTTCCTGATTTGCCTCTGTATTGGTGAGTTCTGTGTGCCTGACAGCGCAGTGCAGAAATTCACAGAAGCAGTGCTGTAGGTCTGATGCTCCATCTCGGACTGGATGCATCAGCTTAATCATCAGGGTAAATACTTCTGCAGTATATTTAGGGGAGGTTAAAAATTGAAATCTCACAGAAAACACTGCAAACAGTCTGTTTATAATAATAATTAATATAATATGATCATATTATTATTATTTTACATAATTATAGTTATAATATAATGTTTGAGCTTATAATAAGCTCAAAGCAGATTGTTTGAGCTTAGGTTTTTCCAAACTTTATTAAATTTTTATTTTTATATTTTGTTAGTATCTTATTGGCAATAATTAATATGTAACAATTAAAAAGATATAGATAAATATTGGGTATAACCTCACCCTTAGCACCATTTGTGTATCTAAGGACTAGTAAGGTAACGAATTTGATGTTGACAAAATTGCTGGGGTACATCTGCAAAGGAAAGTAGGAGGAGGCTTGGCATCCCTACCAGTCCAACAGATAGAGACTAAAATGAGGAATGCAGCTGGGGAGTCAGAGATGCATGAAAAACAATGATACTTGGAGAAAATGTCAGGGCTTTTCTAAGGGATATGCTGCCTTAAAAACTTAGGTTGATAACTAGAAAGAGAAAACAGCATGTGGATGACAGATGTGTTGGATGAGATCTACTTGAAAATATCAAGTTTTGAAGAAAAGACATAGTCGTAAGATAGGAGGGAATTCTATAGATATAGATTCTATAGACATTCTGTAGATGTAGATGAGTATTTGGTGAAAAATTCACAAGGAATAAATTATTTATGGACAGAAGTTATCCCTGGAGTTGCAGAAAATGGATAAATATTCATAAATCATGAAAAATGGGTCAAGAATGACAAAGATGTTAGTACTGAGTAAGTATCTGAATATTAGGCCCAGATGAAGAATACTGGTGATGAGCTATGGAAAAACCTCCTGAAGCACTAAAGACTGAGATTCAGTATTGATAAATGCAGAGAAAGGCACTTGTGGAAAAGGTATTAACTGTGTGAGTAGATGATGTTCTGAACATACTGGTTAAACTACACTGTTCAAAGCTGGACCCTAAACAGCATAGTATGTCTTACTTTTGCAAGGTAACAAAAAATGGTTTGCTTTTGATTCCATCAAATGTGCTGCTGAGAGAAGATAGCTTTTCAAAAGTGCAGCCTAGCTGACACTGCATAGCGGATGGTTTTGTTTGTAGTCTTTTATTAAAACTTGTTTAGATTTTTTAAAATCTTCTTTATGCTTTGCCAAAGATTCTATGTTTTATATTTTCAATTATTTGCATTTTGCCTAATAGAGCAAGATATGTGAATTACATCAAACCCTCTGAAGTTGTCAGGCTGCCATACCCACTCCAGATGAAATCTTCTGGACCACCTTCATACTTTATAAAGAGAGAATCTTGGGGATGGACGGATTTCCTCATGAACCCTATGGTATGTACAGGCAACACACAAATATTACAAGTATGCTAAGGATCCAAATACAGCTATTTGTCAGAATCCTAAGAATAAAAACAATTAAGGAGAATGTGCATTTTTCCTTTGCTTTTCTGAGAGGATTGTTTTATTGGATTTTACGTGCTTACAAATGGGAAGATATTCTCTGACATCTCCTCCCTTACATACCACTGTTAATGTGTGTCCTCTGAAAACAGCCCATGGTCTCTTCCTTTAACAATGTGATGCTGGTCTAATAGTGCAGAGATAACATGTTGCAACACTCTAATTACAGCAGGTGTAAGAGAGAACAAGCATTTGCCTTATTGGTCCAACTTTGAAAACTGTTGTTTAAAGCACAATACTCCCATGCCAGGTTTCATTCCTGACAAATGTTACTGGCTTACTGTTTTGAATGCAGTAGTTCTAGAGTTTGGCTGTTTAGTAGAGCTTCATTTTAATTTAGTAGGCCCTAAAAGTGTTTAGAGCAACAGCTAAGCTGAAGAGGTATTTCCTGTTCTCTCTGTAGGTGATGATGATGGTTCTTCCATTACTGATATTTGTGCTTTTGCCTAAAGTTGTCAACACCAGTGATCCTGATATGAGGCGGGTAAGTACATTCAGTTGATGCATGTGGGGAGGCCAAAGATAATGAGATTTCAGGGCACAGAAAAGTAATAAAAACAGAGCTGTACTTTTAAGGAAAGCTTAATGGGCATCATTTATTCAGCTAATAGAGTGTTGCTGTTTTAGCAATGAGTCATTTAATAAGTGTCAAGTGTGTTGAGAGGGGTGTGATGTGGGGTTCTCTTGTGCTTCAGCCTAAACCGCAGTTGACTGCACTGTTAAATCCAGATGTCGTGCTAGTGTATATGATACAGAGTCTTAATGTAGTCATTAAATTATCTGATTTATTGTCCTTTCATCATGCAAAATGCTGAATTGCAGAAGGCTAGGACAAAATGGAGATTCAAGGTGTTTGCTAAATCTTTTATTTTTACAAGTATTATTTGTCTGTCATGGGTGGCTGCTTTTGAAGGCTTGGTTAACTAAAAACTTCTTCGGTAAATGACCACTGTCTTCAGTAGTACTTTATAGGTGTCTGAGTAATTTTTTTAAAATAAGTGATACCTTTAGAAAACCTACCAGAGCTGTATAATACTCTTTTGGCTACAATTTTGATTAAAAAAACAGATAAAAGATATACTAGGTATTCATGGCATATTCTTCAAAACAAGCTGAACTCTGGAAGTTTAATTTTAAAAAAAGAAAATCACATATTCCTTACTTTTTTCACTGATCTGACACTGCTTAGAGACAGACTGTTCTTTTGATGGTAAGGCCATCAAAACTTCTGATGATTTAGTTCTTATCAGATAACTTATATGAATTCTTAATGAGAAATTTTTAAATTGGAAGAATTTTGCTTCTAATTTAACTTATCTTTAAAGAGTAAGAAAAAGTTGTTTTTAAGAACCAAATTGTAATGACATTCTCTAGATGACCATGTATTAAATTGTTAAGTGTTTACTTGTGGTTTATATGGAGGTTCTATGACATTTTTCAAATTAACTTTTTTCTTTCTGGAATCAGCACAGTACTAGTTTGTATATATATATATATATATATATATATATATTTTTTTTTTTTTAAATCCTTTTTTCCTGAAGGAATGAAAACTCAGCTGCAGTACTCTAGTAGCTTGGTGTCAGAAAGTAGGGCAATAAAAAATATCTAATTCCTTCAAACAGCATCAAAAATTTGTAAATTTGCTATAAATAATACTGATTTGAAAAACAAAAGTGTGACATCTGTGAGAACGCATATCTGAATATCTAAGCAATAGCCTAAATTTTAATATGGAGAAAAGTAGTGCTGAAAAGAAATATTTTCTATTTTTCAGAATTTTTTTATCAGATGTTTGCCCTGTAAGACTGCTTAAGACATGGTTACCATTTTCCACGCATTGCTGCTTTTAGTTTTGGGGTTTTATGTTTCTGTGTGTAGCTGGGTGATTTTGGCTGTGGTTGCATAAAACTATGTAGCAATATGTATCCTGGAGGACTACAAAAAGTAAAACAGTATTTGGGAAAATTTGTTATCTTTCTCATACAGTCTTTCAACTGATGCCTTTAGATACAGCCAGAATTGTTAAAAGCTATTAAGATTATCTGATCTTGTCATGCAGGAAATGGAGCAGTCAATGAACATGCTGAATTCCAACCACGAGCTGCCAGATGTGTCTGAATTCATGACAAGACTTTTCTCTTCAAAATCTTCCAGCAAGTCTGGTGGTAGCAGCAGTAAAGCAGGGAAAAGTAGTTCTGGGAAAAGGAGGTAGTTAAGTCTTCCTCCTAAGTCTGAGTTTGCACAGCTATTTGTTGTCATATTGGTGTCATGTTTATTTGTCTTGAAAGATCAAAAAGCCACTGCTGTAAACTTTAACCTGGCACAACATACATTATACTACAAGAGTGGTTTGTAGCTATTTTTTAGATTGTATAAGCTGTTTTGTACTTGACAGTAAGCAAAGATGACATGGCTTCAATACTGTATCTGTATAAAGTTATTGATTATACTAAATTAACTATATTGTTCTGTAGAAATTCAAATAAATTATACAATGTGCTTCACAGTAATAAATGTCTTAAGACATGTATAAAAAATTTCAAATATAATAGAAGTGGAGTTCCATTTTAAGATATCTTTAATGTTTTACACTTGTTGAGTTCTGAAATGAAAAAATCATTCTTTCAAAATGGAGTTGTGAGTTTACTGGGTAAGTAATTTGCTGTATCAGCTTGTCACATGTTACACATAAAATCATTTCATTTTATGCAGTTTGCTGCCTGTACCGTTTACAGAATCACAGAGTGGGTAAGGTTGGAAGTGACCATAATGGGTTCTCTGGTCTGATCTCCCAGTCAGGGTCATCCTAGAGCACGTGGCACAAGATTGCATCCAGATGTTTCTTGGATATCTTCAGTGAGAGAGACTCCACAACTTCTGTGGGCATTCTTTAGTTCAAAGATTTTCCACTGTGTATTGCCCAGTTTTACTCTGATCTAGTTTCTGCTGAAAACTCTTTGGGAGGAAAGAAAGCAAAGTATCTTGCATGAGGAATTCATTTAAGCTGTCAAGATCTTGAATCTTTCTTTTCTAAATTACATGTATCACTTCTGCAACACTTCTTACTGTTTCTATGTGTGCTGTGCTTTCAACTTACCAGTGGAAGGATTTGAGGCCAAATGCAGAATTTTAAATGCAGTTCAAATTAACTAATTTTAAAATTAAAGAAAAGAACTTAAGGTGTAGTAGTAAGCTAAATTCTGCTCATCTTACAAATTACATTCCAAAGTATATGGCTCTTGAGGAATGCTAAGTCACTGGCAGAACTTTGTTCTTCAAGCATGCCTGTATATTTCTTATGCAGTTTGTTTTCAAGCTACCCAGAGAAAAGTTGAAAAAACTGATTGTTTTTTACTAGTTGAACATTTGCATGTTAAAATGACAGCAATACTTGCCAAACCCTATTAGTAACAGTCCTCTTTTTTTTGTCATCATAAACGTTGCTCTTCTTTACAGTTGGTAACTTCTCAGGTAACAGGGTCAGTGCAGCAGAGATAATGTATATCTGCCTCCAAAAATGGTATTTGACATCCACTTACAATACATCTGAAGCAAAATCAATTATAGTGCATGTATTTGTTCTGCCTTACACAGAAGAGGACTATAAATTGTCTTAGAATACATATTTAGAAGTTATGCTGGGAAACATAAAAGTTGCAAAAGACTAAATACTCTTTAATAAGATTTAAGTCAGTTTTGAGGTTTTGGAGAAGAAATAACCCAGTGTTTTCTGTGGACAATGAAAGATTTCACTCTGCAGAGTAAACTGCACATTTTTGCTCTCTTTTTGTTTTGCTTGAATGGTCTTTTTGTTTCACATATTAAGTAAAATATTTTCAGTGGAGACAAGAAAGATATTTGGATATCCTTGCTGGAAGGATCTGCTAAAATAAGTGTCAAGTTGCATTGATGAAGAAAGAAAACCAAACTATATTAAAAAAAAAAAAACCTCTTTCAGCAATTTCTTATGAAAAAAAATATATGAAAACCAGCAGTTTTTTGAAGATGGAGCAATTAGCATTGTTACTGTGCTATCCTGGAAAGTACAAGCCATGAGTTACTTTTGTTTAACAGTAATTGAAATAACAATTGAATTGCATTAGCTTATAATTAATCATAGTGATGCATTTTCCCATGTTAGGAACATGGAAAAATTCCAAAGGTAGGAATTCATATTTCTTCCTTCTTTTGTGGTGTCTGTTCATCCTCTTGATTTCTTTACAAGGGAGAATGGAGAATTCAGTCCATGAAAAAATGGAAGTCCTTGTTAGGAGTTCAGAGTGAAAAAGTTCACAGAAATTGTAAAGATTGTAGTAAAACTTTAGAAGGAGCACATGGAATATTCAACAGTTCTCTTTTTCTTAGGACTTTGTATATGAAGGTTGAGGCAGTTCCTCTATGCGTCGGGATCAGATGCAATGTCTGCTCTCAGAAACCTGTTACCATACAAATCCAAGCCCAAAAATCTTGTATATTATTCACCTCCTTTTAAGACTCGTTTGTGATAAAACAGTTTGTAGAAGTGTGTTAGTCTGCTGCTGAATTACTGCAAGTTACAAATTTTTTTCATTTTAGAGCTGGAATCTGTTTGTCAAGTGAGCAGAGAGGTTCTAGCCAGAGTGTATTGGTCGCTGCGGTCAGGTGGTCATTGTTGTTTAACTTCATCCAATAGCCCAGCCCCACACAGCTGCTCACTCGATTCCCCTGGTGGGATGGGGAAGAGAGTCAGAAGGGTGGAAGAACATTTGCGGATCAAGATAAAGGCAGTTGAATAGGGAAAGCAAAATCTGCGCACAAAGCAAAACAAAGAATTCACAACCTCCCATGGGCAGGCAGGTGTTCAGTCATGCCCAGGACAACAGGGCTCCAGCACACCTAATGCATACTTGGGAAGACAAAGCCATCACTACAAATATCCCACTCTTCTCCCCACTCTATGCAAAGCGTGGTGCCTTATGGTCTGGAATATCCCTTTGGTCATTTGAGGTCAGCTGTCCTGGCTGTGTCTCCTCCCAATTCCTTGTGCCCCCCTCCAAGCCCCTTGCTCATGGGGTAGGGAGCATTAAAGGCCTTGGCTCTGTGGAGCACTGTGCATCAGTAATGAAAATGTCTCTGGGTTACCAGCACTGTTTCCAGCACAAGTCCTAGGCATGGCTCCACACCAACCACTGAGAACATTAAAACTCGACCACAGTCAAAACTGGCACAGTCAGTGAAAGTTGTAATGTGGCCTTGGACTATCATAAAGGGCACTAGGCAAAATTTACTTGATCCTGAAGCAGTTAAAATGCAAGGTTGCATTTCTGCAGAAAGTAAATGTTTGCTGTAGTTCACTTTTATTTTCTTATGTACAGATTTTTAGGAGTCAGTCTTCTCTGTTAGTCTGGCATCTCCATTTTCAAAAACTAAAACCGACATAGCTGCCTTTTAGTGAGGCTTCTTGAGATAACATAAGGCAGAATATAAATTGAAGAAATTGATACCTCAGAGCAGAAAATCCTTGCCTTGGAGTGTAGGCAAGCTGATTTCCTTATTGCCAAAAGGAGGAAGACAGGCTTCTTCAGCTTGGACTGGATAACCCTGCTGCCTTCTGATTATAAGTTCTGGTACTTCTCAGGCTTTGTCGTGCCTTGACTTAACAAGTAAAATTGGTTCATCAGTCTGCTGGAATTCTGTTATGTTTTAGGAAGTTAAATCAGCTTACAGAAGGATCAAAGAAATCCCAGAGCCAGCAGAAAGTAAGCACCAGAAACAGTCAGAGGCAGGAATTCTCTGTTCCTGGCAGTGACTGTGAGTGGTACAATGAGCTCACTGCATCTTGAGGATTTGTAGCTGAAGAGCTCATTTAGCCATGTTCTGAATGAGTGGGCAACTGAGTTTATGACAAGCTGTGTAGAAGGGAGAGGAGACATATTTTGCTGAAGTCTATTTTAGCTATTAGTCACTTAAGATGATCTGGAAGGTGTTTGGAACAGTTTGAAATAATTTGACCAGTTGCATCATTGAAGTTGCTGACATTCTACACACATAAGGAGGAAATATAATGTACAGATATCTCCCCTTTGTTTTAAACAAAAAAATTTTTGGTGCTCTTTATCTTTTTGATGCAGTGGGGGTGATAATGGCTCCATAATTGGGGTGTGTGTCTTCAGAGAGACAGGCTGGCTTGTGATTAAGGCTTGTATTTGTGAAGAGAACTTTGGTATCAAGTGCCTTGGGTTCAGATGCAACTGTCAGACTGTACAAAACATCTATTATTTATTTCTGTTTCAGTTTCTAGTGTATGACTTATGAGAAGCTCATCCCATAAAATTGTGAAGATAAATTTTGTAATGAATATTGAGTAGTCAGATAGGCTGGCAATGAACTTACTAAAAAAATCCAGTATGTAATCTTGTTAAAGAGTGTCTTTGTTAAGCATTATTGTGTAGATGTTTATATCTATCTGTTAAAGCAACCCTTTTAAAGTAACTGCATGTCAAGATTTCAAAAACAATCTAGGCAATTTAAGTACATGCAATTTTCCAACTTAGTGAAAAGTGTATTAAATCACTATGATCTATTTAAACATCTCCACTTGGGTGTTAATGTACCCTTAATTGCATAAAGGTCATGTGTGATCAGTAGCTCAAAGAGGGCAAAGTTGGTTTTACAGTTTGATAAAAGGACCCTAGGCTAACAGTGATAAAAGTATCTTAAAGTACTAAAGGGATTTAATTTTCATGTTTAAGAGATCTCTGATCTTCATTTTGTTGCTACTGGTAGTTAATAGATAGTGAATTTGTATTCCTGCAATTTTATGTTTCATTTGAAACTTATTTATTTTAGAAAAATAACCAGTATAAAATAAATAGTAACGAAGCCTTAGTGGAATAAACTATGGATATATATGGCTATATGTTGTGCTAATTTAACAAACTGAAGGAAAATTTAAGTGTTTACACTTAAATTGTTGATGGCTAAGGAATACAGAAAGGACTTAAAATTTTAAACTTCAAATCAGTGGAAAAGCAGATTTACTGAACAATGTTAAAAGGTTGAAAAGATTACATATGTACATTTTGCACATTCTTGGGCAGGAGAAGCACAAGAAGCACCTGTGGTGCACAGGGCATTTGGAAGGTCCCACATAATGGGCTTAATCATTGTCTATAAAGCTTGTCAAGCAGGAACTGGCTCAGAGGCCAGCTTGGCAGGAGGAACCCCTGTGCGTGCTGTGCTCTCCACAACAGAGCTCAGACACTGTGGCTCAGGAGTCATTTATTGCCCATGCTAACTTTGCTACCATATCCAGGAATTACTGCGAGGGGAGGGACAGTACTGTTATTAGGCACATTCCAAGGATGTATTGACCGCTATTGCACAAGCTTAATACTCTGAATCAGCAGATTCCCATGTCCAGGGAAGTTCTCTGGCAATGTTTCATTTAGTAAGATACTTGAAGCTATAATTAATTGTGAGGAGAAAAATTTGGAGAAAGCCCCCAAAGGTAGAAGAAAATTTAAGTATTGCTATCATGATGTATTTCACTCAAATACTAAGGTTTGCAAAAAATTGTAGCTGGAAGATGTTTCCATTTCCTACAGACAGTGTTTTCTAGGTGGACATAGTTTTGGCAAGTGACAAGAGAGCAAATGAAATGTCACAGCCTTTAGAAGAGCACTGACTTCGTTGCCTATTTGGTATTTGCCTATTACCCATGTGAGTGAAGAAAAAGCAGTTATCCCATGTTTCTTTCCATCTTAGAAAGATTGCTATAGTCTTCATTCAAGAGATGAAGTTCATCAGTCTTTCCCTCCATCACAACATAAAAACTGTCACTCATTTAAGGCTCTTCCCCAAGTGGTACAATCCAGCCAGTTTTCTCCCACTCAATCCAGGGTTCATGCTGTGCAATAGTCTTCTAATAAACCTAATAGTCTTCTTTTTGGAACTTTGAGTTCCAAAAAGCAATTAGTATTGATAGTGAAAAAATGGAATTTTAAAGAATCTTACTTCTTTCATCATTTCAGTGGCTTTAAAGACACTTGGACCTTAGATCTTAATGACTGTTTTGAACATT